AGGGTATTTCACACAGGGTATTTCACACAGGGTATTTCACACAGGGTATTTCACACAGGGTATTTCACACAGGGTATTTCACACAGGGTATTTCACACAGGGTATTTCACACAGGGTATTTCACACAGGGTATTTCACACAGGGTGTTTCACACAGGGTGTTTCAAAAGTAACTGCATCGAAATAGCTATCTCTCATTTTCAGGAATTTCTATGGATTTGCTGCTGAACTGTTCATGAATTTCAGTTCCAAATGGTCTTATGTTTCCTCTTATCTATTTTGCGGTGTTTCTGTTGGGTTTAATCATTAGCGATAAGTGGCTTTTCTGAATGACTTATCTTCTCGGATTAGACTGATGACGCCCCGTAACGCAAGCAACTTTTGAACCATTTCCTTCCGGTTTCTCTGGGCTACTCTTCTCTTCGCACGCGAGTTCGCGTTTTTGATGGTGCGGAATATGGAAGAACAAACTTTTTTTTTCAGGACATTTTTCGGGTCTCGGCCCGATTGACCTTTCGTTCTGCGCTCCGTTGGCTGGAACTTTCGTCCCATTCGACTTATTCGTTTCAAATTTTCGGCATGGGTTATGTGGCATTCGGCGCAGCACGAGTCGCAAGTTTCTTCGTGAAAATTAACAAGACTTTAATTAATCCTAATTAACATAGTCTTGAAGGAAACTTCTTGCAGATACGAACAGTGAAACCGAAATAATAGCCAAGGTATCTTCCCTCTTTTTTCCCTTGGTTTTCCCGTCTGAATTTAACCTCATTTAAAACAAATTTTCACCATGCGACTCACAGAACTCCCATTCAAATTACCGACGTTGGCTCTACGTGGAAGAGGCGTGGAGTTCTTCCGAGATGGGAAAAAAGCGACATTATGCCAGATAAAGTACAGGTTCAATTTTATATCGATTTGGTCCGGTGATATGACCCCAGCTGACAAATCGTTATTATAAACTCATGAGTTCTCATGAGATCTCGCAACGCTCTCGCACATTTATCCGAAAGCTGAGACCTCACGAGACTGCTGTTTGAAACCTCATGAAGATCTCGTGAGGTTTTTTTCAGCCGGAAAATTCTCGTCAAAGCGAAAATGACTAGAATTCATGCCGTCGTTGACGACCGGGGCTAATTAGCGCTAATTAGCTCAAAGGGGCTAAGGCATCGATCAGAAAGTGCACACTCGTAGATGCATTCAAACATGCACATGCACATGCGCGCTTCCTCGCATGCAGCATTTTCTTGCAGACGGATGGACGACCGAGGATCTCGTGCTCCGATGGAAAGACTCGGCCCCCGTGCAGATCGTGAAGAACCTCACCATCCCCAAATTCACGCTGGAAGAATACTCCACCGACCGCTGCAACAGCGTAACTAACACCGGTGAGTCCATTGAAAGGCATGTCGCATTGAAAGGAAGAAAGAGATTCGATTAACTATTTTAGGTTGGGAATGGTTTGGCTTTCGGTTTGTCGCGTCAGCTGCTGCGGACTTCGCACTTTCATGTGTTTATCTAAAAAAAATATTACTCTAGAGAATTAAGGGAGATGACATTTATTTTGGACGCTTGCACAGTTACGTTTATTTTTAAATCATTAGACTCAATTTTCAGTGATTTAGCTTATTTATTGCGATTTCATGAATGAATAATTTTATTTGCAAAATTTCATAATTGAGGAGCAAAGTACGCTTCACGATGACGAAATTCCAGAGTCACTTAATTATTTCCATCCTCAATGAAATTTGAATGCAAAACCATTTCCACAACGAATAAAGATCCATCTCCGCAATGAGCAACGGCAGCTGTAGCAGTCAACAGATGATTCTCGCCATCGTAACTTGCACCTCAACTTTTAAACTTGTCTGGAAGATGGTTTAAATTGAGTTAAATGTAAACAATTAACTCATGAAATCAAGAGTCAGGGTATCTACATATATATTTTCCCCTTCCTGGCCCTTATGACAAAATTAGTAACTGCTGATGACATACACAACTTGAACATTTAAAACTTAAGTTAATTTCCTTATTATAATAAATGAATACTTCAAAGAAAAAAATTCACGGGCAGAATATTATTCGCGACGGTACGAGAGAAAAGAAGTAAGTAATCTCCGTCTTGGTGGAACTGCATCAATCATCCAAGGGGATCCTGCAAAGAAAGATATGAAATGAATTTACCTTAATAGCGAGACCAATTTCAATGCTCAATGTTATATCTACATCTCTCACTCCATCTCAATAATAAACAATGTTACAATCTCCACGGTAGTATTTTCCTATGTATATCTCGAAGAAAAAGGTTGAATGATAATCGAATTAAGTAAAATCGTCTGGATCTACAGGGGAATACGGCTGCCTCCGAGTGAACTTCACGTTCAAGCGAGAGTTCAGCCACCACTTCACGCAAATCTACGTCCCCTCGTGCCTGTTGGTCATCGCCTCGTGGGTGTCCTCCTGGCTGGATGGCAAGGAGGCGGTGGCCAGAATGAGCCTGGGCGTGGTCTCCCTGCTCGCCTTGGTCGTGCAGAGCTCCTTCGTCCATGCTTCCCTTCCGCCGCTGTCCTATCCGACTGTGAGTGGGGTTGCACCCCTTACGAAAATGTCTTATAGAATTCCTATATATTCCTATAAGAATCCTATAGGTTCCTATATGCCCCATAGATTTCAGTTCGGGACCTATTGAGTCCCCGATAGAACCTATAGAGTTCCCTATAGAAGCAATAGGGTTCCTCATGAAGCCAATAGGTTCCCTATAGGACCCAAAGGGCTCTGTAAAGGACCCGTAGGGTTCCCTATAAAACCTGTAGCGTTCCCTATAGGACCTATGCAGAACCCTATAAGACCTATAGGACCTATTGGGTTCCCTATAGGACTTATACGGAACCCTGTAGGCCTAAAGGGTTCCGTTTGAAGTTCTCCTCTAGGCCACTAGATGGAAGTACAGGGTTCTCACATTTCTCAAAGGGCACAAAAGTGCCCTATGCCTGGATTTCGAAACCCAAAATATCCTCCCCGGGTCCTATAGGTCAGGAGACCAATAAAACCCTATAGGGATCCTATAGGATTCTAAAGGATGCTATAGGTTTTTCGTGTTTCAAAAACCTATAGGAAAGTCAATAGGTTTCCTATAAGAAATAGCTAAATGTTTCCTATAGGACATTTCCGTAAGGGACACGAATGGAGAGATAGGGTCAAGGATCAAGGTCTAACATCGATCGAGCCGATGATGTTGCGGAGTGGGTTTTCCGTGCATGCTGCTTAATCTCGAATCATGCCATGCTTCCCCTTACGAAAATGTCCTATAGGAAACCTATTGACATTCCAATAGGTTTTTGAAACACGAATAACCTATAGGATCCTATAGGATCCCTATAGGGCCGTATAGGACTCCTCACCTATATGATTCGTGGAGGATTTTTTCGGTTTCGAAACGAAGGCATTACGATGGGAATGGCAACCGGGGTCAATATTGGGGCAGCATTATGGTGTAAATGAATTACCGATTAGGGGTTTCCTCATGGTAGGAGAGCTCGCATTAATAATACTAGTACTACCCATGTTAGCGCGTCCATTTCTTTCGGTAGAGAGTAGCAATATTCTTCTCTGGAGCTTAAGAAGACAGAAATTGCGAGCACGTCTCTTAATTGAAATTCCTTTCGGATAGATTCAATATTTCTCGTACGTGGTTTTCAAAGGGAATAAGGGCATATTTCTTGCCTGGACTCCATGATTCTATCTGGAAGATGGGGATGACAAATAAGGAAATGTCGAAATTTATTGATTGCTACAATGAAGTAAGGCGGGACATTTGGGGATGTACAAAACTCTCTAATTAGAGATGATTCCATGGGTAAGAAGAGGGCACTTTTGTGCACTTTGAGAAATGCGAGAACCTCATACCTCCATCTAGTGGCCATGAGGAGAACTTCAAACGGAACCCTATTGGCCTATAGGGTTCCGAATAAGGAACCATCCAAAGGGAACCATATAGGTCCCAAGCAGAACCATATGGGGCCTATACGGTTCCCAATAGGTCCCATAGGAATCCAATAAGGCATCTTCGTAAGGATCCCGCCGTAAGGTGCTCAGGCTTTGGTACAGTTTTGCGTTCACGAATTACTGTCACTTAAATGATTACGTGATGAAGGGAATATACCTAGATGTCTAAGTGCTGTCCTAATTTTCTTCATTTTCGTGAGTCCTTCAGAGAAAATTTTCCCTAAGGAATGGATTAAATAAAAAATTGTAGACTTTGATCTGAGAATTGGATGATGGGAACCATGTGAACAAGCAGGAACTTGGCTGGGGCACGGAATGTTTGATTCCGTGCCTTTCTTATGGCAATCAAGGGATACATTATTATTATGTGCCTTTTCGTTCCTCCTCGCTTCAACTTTTGCCATTAATTTTTTTCTGAAGCAAAGAGCAAAATAATAGGAAAGGACATGATCGTCAAGGCTCAGGTTGTCTTTTGACAACCGAGTTGATGAAACGCAACCTCCTGGAGTAATAGAGACGATCGAATCATCTAGATTCGGTTTCATGTTCCCTTCATCGCGCAGGCCATCGACGTGTGGATGGGGGCATGCATGACCTTCGCCTTCCTGGCCCTGTTGGAATCGGTCGTCGTGACCCACGCCTCCCAGTCCGAGGCGAATTGGCTACTACCGCAGACGGAGTTGGAGTCCGTGCCCTTCGAGAGGGAGAGACCCAGTCTAGGGAGCCAGTCGCGGTGGAGTGTGAACCAGCCGCGGTGGAACGGTATCCGGTGGCCACCGGAAAGGGTCGACGCCGCCTGCCGTTCCGCCTTCCCCGCCTGCTTCGCCTTCTTCAACGTCGTCTACTGGTGTTACTTCCTCTAATAGGAAGACGACGACATCGAAACCACATCGGTCTCATCTCGTAGCCAATCTCATCCTTTCTCTTGGACATAGTTGTTTTCCTCTTTCATTTCATGCTTTTGGTATGGCTTTCATGTCGGTACCGATTGGAGACTAGAAGTACCAATAAATATTGGATGACGAGCATTGAAACTCGGATTTTCCTTGTGAACCACCAGACTGTGAATGGAATTCATACATATATACAAAGATAACATCTGTTTTGATCAGAAAGTGATGTTTTAGATACGTTAGTTCTATGTCATTGAATTGTGCTTAAGTTGCGAGATTTTTATTAGTAATTTTCTCGATTACGCGACCGGGTTAGTTATTATAAATGGGCCAGGAAGTATCTACCTTACTAATGAGCGTAAGTGTCTGTGCGTAGTCGCTTCTCCTCCTAGACGGTTTGATCCCTGACCCTGAAACTTTAAACTTAGGCTTCCTAGGGGTGGGGCATCAGGACGACGGAGTTTGGTGGCCCTGCCACCGGTGGGTCGCTGGGCCACCTTGGGTCACCACGGTCATTTTTCGTTCAAATAATACGATTTTTTGTGTGTAGGAATCATTCAGCAGCCTGAGTTCGCCAGTCAGGTCCATTTT